TGTGGAAACTGACAGGGAGAAGTTCTGTGGCTTCCTGGTTTCTTTAATATACAATGGAGGTTCGTGAATGGAGAAACTGCATGGTTTTCCATTTCTTTAATAAGCTATTGAGGTGAATAAAACAAAAGGTCCAAGTCATAGGAATAAAACAATTGGTTACATAACTACAGACTGAAGTATATAAGACTATAGAATAATACAAGTGATTTAATAGATGACTTTGTCTCTGTAAACAAGATAATTGTATGCCTGTTTTGGTCAAAATACCCCTGATCATACATCACAAGATAAGGTAAATAGTTTGTCACGGACTAGTCCGTGAAGGTGGAGGTAATCAATTCCACAACTTCAAGAGAACCTTTAAAAGAGGTATCTAGTGAAGACATATTGAAAACAGACATGGCCGTGTCTGTTAGTTTTGGTAACTACCCTTGTTGTAGCATTTCAGTACAGTGTAGCCATCATAGCTCATAATAAAAGCAGGTAAAGAGCTATAGGTGAGGGTGAGGAAAGACTGAACTGAAGCTCAGGTCAACTACGATTGTTTTTTCAAACAGTCTAAAAGGACCAGTGTGTTAGTGGCATCTAGCAGTGAAGTTGCAGATTGCAACTAACTGAACACCTTTCGCGTCTCTATTTGACAACCTGGTAATGGATACATTTTTTCAAGCGTCTAAACCCCCTGCGAAATGACTCGTGTCACTATCCGAATTTGATCCATTTGGTCCAATAACATTTTTAAAGTCTAGAAGATTCACAACACTCAATTATGTATCCTCACTGATGTTAACAGAGGGCTCCTGTACGGGCCACTGTAGCCCATAGAGGATGAGGAGTGTGTATTAATCTGGGTAATTTCTATGCAGCAGGAAGTGTCGTCTCTGTCTTCATGCACCACTGAACAGCTTCCATGTGAATAAACAGAGCACCGCCTCAAACGCTGTATCCAGTTCTCTTTATACATCAATGTGTGTACTCCAAGGTAACAAAAACACAACGATTCTTATTTTCAGGTGATAACTTACATACATACATGACATACCTATGAATATTATATCCCATTTCTGTCAATAAATCCTTCTACATGTTACTCACTGGACTTGATGAAGATGAACATCAATGTAAGTTAGTTCATATGTGAAAAAGTTGTATGAAGCCTTTGTGGCTCAAGAAGAAGAAGGTTGAATCTTCAACCTAACTGTCAGCAGGGGTTGCATTGTGGGTAATGGTTTTGACCTTTTGATATGGAAGAAGAATGCATGGAATAAAAAGAAAATATCTCTGGTTTTTCTACATCTATTTTAGTCAGAGTCAGAGAATGCTATAGGGGTGTGATGCTAAATCATTGCTCCTTTAATACAGTGAATTAGTATTTGGGACACCGGCAGGATTTTGTAAGGCTCTTGATAAGTATTTCAATATTGTTAGAATTTTACTGTTACGGTAATGTATCTATATGGAAATGTCACAAATTATTCATTTAAAATGATTTGATATACACTTCAAAAGGGGTGGGTTTTTGTTTTACTTGGTAACTAATTACCAATGTAATTTCCATGACACACTTTATGATCATCATAGTAGTCTTAAATCATTTCATTTTACACAATTTAGAGTATTTTTGCACATTTTAAGTCCTTACATGTGTAATAGATGTGAAGTTTGGAATATGGTGCAAATATGTACTAAAATGTACAGATTAGCTTTTCTTCCCATTGTCTTTGTTGCAATGTGATATCACAAAGACACAATCACTGCCACAGGTAAATCAGTTCTCTCCCTCCAGTGTTATTCATTTAATATCAGCAGTCAAAATAGCTACAAAAACAATTTGGGCTAATTATGATTTAACCTTATTTATTACAGTTTAATTGCCTATCATGTGAGATCTGATTAATGATTACACAACAGTGAATTCAAACTGGCCCACTCCAGGACATTGGCAGGGGCTAATTAGTTGCTGACTTGAGGCCTCTCTCCACTCTTCATCCTCCCAGACTGCCAAAACTAAGATTCCCAATCCCACTGAGCCGAGCCCATCTGCTTTTTCTTTGTTGGTCGGTCAAGAGGAATACAAACATCATAAATTAACAAAGATGTAGTGGTTTTACAATGCTTTTGCAGAAGAACAAGAATGATAATAAAGCAAAACAATGTAAGTCTGTTTTCTCTGTGGGGCTAGTGTTTTACTTTCAAAGCAGATGAAGAATATCATCTGCAACACAGAAATCTTCCTACACTGAGCAGAGAGCCTAACGTTGCTCAGCTGTAAAAGTAAAGATCCCGTTACATTTAATAATAGAAGAGTCTGCTTGTGGGGAGGGACCGGCTGCCAGAGCACACAAACCACTGAGTGCACAGCCTCCCACAGTCAACACAGTGACAGACACAGAGGCACTCAACTGGAATCATGAAGATATGAAGGAAAGGAAGGTTATACGAGATGGAGAGATTTTGAGATGAGAAAATGAAGAAGTGAGGATATAAAAGGGAAAAGTAGAGGGATAGAAAGATAAAAGGAAAAGGATGAAGAAATGAAACTGCAAATGTAGGGAGAGAAATCCAGGATGGAGGCACTGAAGGATGAAGGGCTGCAAGGGTGGGGTGGGTAAATCTCATTGCCAAAGGAAGGACTGAGTTAGAAGACTAAAATCTGTGTAATCATTTCATTTAAGGGACTATCATAGACAGACGTCTCTATCAATTGACCCGAGTCTATATTGCATATAAAACACAGGATTTGTTAACTTTTTAAATTCCTACTCACCTACGCACTTGTTTTTTCAGTAAATGAAGGCTTTTTTGCTTTCTTGCCAAGTACATTAACACATTTAAAGAGGTCAGTAGCTCTGAAAAAAAGTTAGTCCTGGCAGCTTGTGCTGCACAGGTGCAGGCTTATTCACAGAAGGCAGGCGGCCATGAAATAGACTGAAACACCAGTCAGCCCTGCGAATACACAGATGCACAACTAAAGACCACATGAACAACATTTAAACACCTCTTCTAGCACTTTTCTTTATGGTGTATATCAATTCAAAACTACGTTAAATGATCATCAGCCGCCAGAAATCAATATGGCATGATACCAGTAAAGGGACTGGGTATCACAGATTTTAAAACATGATGCTGGTGTCAGGGAAATGTATCTAATTCTAAAATCAAACTCCAAGGGATATACTGTAACACCAAAAAAAGACAAAAACTGAACTGATACCCTCTCTCTTTCAGACCTCATAATAAGATATCTCATTAATTCACACAATGAACCATCCCTCTCAGTTACCTCAGTATTGCCAGTAAAGGAGATGAATCCAATTTCTAGAAAACTGGTATCGGATTATTCCTTATAGCTCTAAATCTTCACTTTCCCTCACATAGTTTAATTTTACACAACCTAAAACTGTATTTCTTGGTGCTTATGTAATGTATTCTAGCATTATGGTAGCATTCTCAAATCTACCGCGGTGGGAAAGTTAAATATAGAAACACAGTGAAGATTGCGTGTCATCCCAAAAAACATTACCAAAGAGAATTCAACACTCAATGCAACATGCAGCCGAAGAGCAGTGTGCCAAAAGAGGTACAAGAAGATGCAGTCTAGGAGGATGAAACAAACAAACAATACAAACAGAAGTCTTGCAAGTTCCCATTGGAAGATTGAGCATGTATTAAATGTCAAATAAATCTATAAACACTGAACAGAAATGCTGATGTGCAATTAATCAGTGAATGTCAAACAGTGTCAAAATGTGTTTAAAAAATTGAATCCATACTAAGTAAAAGGCACATCTGTAGGGTCTGTCAGAAAAAGTGACATGAAAGAAAACGCCATTGGAGAAAGTCATTACTCAATCAAAACAGACAGAAAAATCTCTCCAATAAAACTTTAAAATTAACAAATGATTTGATGAATAATTTATATATTTATTCATTCCTATGAGCATCATTTCATAATGTCTTATTATACTTAATATTAAACCCTTCCATGCTTGGAAGGGTTTCTTGGAAGATACAGACCTATTTAAGATTTTTCATTTAGACTAGAGGACCGTTAACCTCATTATGTCGATGAGAGCTTTGCCAAGATATGACTAATATGGACAAACGAAAAAGAATTATTACCCAGCCCTACTTGAGGTGACCCTAAGGGTGCCATCCAATATAAAAATACAAAATACCCATATGTGACACATCTGCAGTGACATCCGAGTATTTCTACTTTCAGGTCACCAAAAAGGCACGTTATCCCATATTTCCCTACTTAAATACTCCTCAGGAAATCTGAAAAAAAAAATTACATCTTCTAAAATAACCCATGTCACAATCGGCATTTAACTTTTGAATCTTACAGTCTGGTACCGAGGCAGAAAAATATCCATGAAGAGGGGAGCAATAAAGCTTTTCTGCCATGCAACAATTAATTAATGATTTCAGCGACTTCATGCGTGTGTTAATTAATAATTCCCCACACACAACGCGCAGTTTCATTAACACAAACGCCCGTGCAGCGATGCGGGCTGTACAGTGCTATCTAGCAGCCACACCAATGATTCCTACACGGGACAGCTGAGATCTACAAAACTTAAACCGAAACCACTCTACTTGCTCTCCCAGCTACTTGAATCCAGCTCCAGCTATAGTACACACACACTTCATAACAACCACTGAATATGAATAAAACCCCGACTGCAGAGAGTACAGTACCTGTGCCGTTGTCTTCAGGCGGGCGGCTGGAAGTGAATGAGTTTGTAATGCTGAGTACAGTGGTGATGAATGGATGCTGCGCTGCCTAGCAACCACACGACCAATCAAATAAATGGAAGACAATTTAACAGAAAATGCTCTAAATGCACAAAACACCAAATGTATTTAATTAACTAAAGGTCAGACTCAGCGATTGGCTGTACTAGTTCTTAATATAAACTGCTCCTGTTAACATTAAAATGTGATGCATACCTTATAAGAGGGTTAATAAGAGGTCAACACATGATTATGTCAGATTTTACTTATTTATTTGTAGTAATTGTGCGATTGTAGCTTAATGTTGTTCAGCATTTTCCACATCCCTTTTATTCTGGAAGCAACCAGAGTGTCTGTCAATCTTGTACTGCAACATGTATAATTGAACCATGCTCTCCGGACAGCAGCTAAATCTACAGCACCCTCTAGTGAATTCATCATGGAAGTGGGTCACAGTGTGCAACAGGAATTCTTTGCCCTGTGGAGGGGGTTGTGCGGCACCTTCTTAGCTAAAAAGAAACCCTGCTATATAACCCTGCTTCAGGCATTCTCAAGTGTTAGCCAGGCCTAAAATATAAAATCCTAACAGTCACTAAAGAGAGCGAAGTGCTCATCGTATGTGAGACATCTCTTCCAGATAAGGCGTCTTCATACAGCCTGTGCAGAGCTGGTCCATCCACAGAGGTGCCTCGTGCTGCAGAGGGGTGCGGCGTGGGTAGAAAGTGTACGACGGGTCATAATTCAAAAGACAGCTCAGGGAGGTCATGTAGAGGTCTGAGAAACGACACAGGCGCCTGGAGAAGTAGGTGGGGTTGTGACACGTTCTGAAGATGCTGCCGAACTGAGGGTTGAACAAGTTCTTTGTCATCACCCTGCGACATAAAAGGGTAGGGTATACGTTAATATGATTTTAAGTATGCATGAATTTATACATTTAGTGGAGGAAGTAGTTTTCAGATCCTTTATGCTAGTACCAATACTACTCAGTAGAAAGTATATACTATTCATTATGCAGCCAGAATTGCCCTTGTCAGTATCATATTTGATATTATTAAATTATTATTGCTGATGCATTTACATGTAAACAGCGTTTTAATAATGTAGCTGTTCAAGGTGGAGCTAATTTATACAGTTAGGCATTATAAATTACTGTAGCATCATATTTTAAATGCTCATTAGAGGGTCTTACTATAACTACATCTGTCATGTAAATGTTAAGAAGTAAATGTACCATAAAATTAAAGTACAAGCAACTCAGAACTGCTCTTAAGTCAAGTGCTTTAAGAAATGTACCAGGACATACACCGTATGTGATATAATCAGGATCACTGGATTCACTGGGTGGTGCATTAGATTGAGTGGAGGATTAAGATAATTGTACTTGCCTGAGTTCTTCTCTCTCACTCTGCCATTCCTGAAAAACCAGTTTTGACTCTGGGTCCTGATGTGTCTAGGATAATGAAGAGGACAAACCTATGAACACATATAGTTCTGAACCAGAGTTTACTGCATTTCTGTGCTTGAGTCATTCAGTCTTGAGTCAGTTTCATACTACCCGATGATAAGACAACCAGGGCTTGAAAACAGAAGTTACACATGGACTTAAGTAGCTTGGTGACTGGACAATTTTTTCCCCACCCTGTGTTGTCAACATGACATCACACCAGTTAAGAACCGATGAGAAACAGCTGGAAATGAGTGTGCAGATTGTGGCTTGCCGTCAGCACATTTAGCAATTTGAGGCTTACCAAGCATGAGTAACTGCTGGTTATGAAATGTCAATCTGTGTCCTTTAACCCTTAACACATTTAAGACTGAGACTTGCATTTTCTTTTGGTGAGTAAGCGTTCTGTAAAATCCTAGGGTTAACCTCACCTGTAGACGCTCCATCAGGCCGGTTAAAGCCTGCAGCCAGGTGAGGTTCAGAGCATACCGGTCTGTGGACACCACTTTGGTTTCCTGCTCCAGCTCAGGTACTATGGCTGCTGTACGCCAGCCATGTCGCAACATCAGGTCCTACCACAACAAGTGAAAATGCTTTTGTCACACTCAGGCTTGTACAATGATGAATAGTAGTATCCCACAAGGATCCATCAAGGATTAGCATATAGTATCTTGATTTAAGACAGAAACAGTAGTAAAACTTCAGTGGAATTTCATCCACAGCAACATAAACAGAACCCCTAGTTTCATCATCAGGTGTCTTTAGTTTTACCCATTTCAGATGTTTTCATTGGTGTTGCTGCTGGTTTCTTTTAAATCCCCTACCAACCTTGGGGGAAAATACATTTCTGACCTGCTTTAAGAACATAAACCCAGTAGACCGATAAGATCTTTAGGGAGCAGTCAAGTAGTAGTGCCTTGAGTCAAAACCAAACTGTTTCAGATACTCTGCCACACACGGGGAATCAGCTATGGGCTCAACCGATCTAATTTAAAAACTCTGACGCTCTCCAGTGGCTTTGATAAATTGCTTTGATAAATTGCTTTCTCTACAACACTTATTTCTTGTATTGAATTTGGGGCATCATAACCTCTTCATACCTGTTCTTCTGATCTATTATATATTTGTCTATTTATATTTGATCTCATTTAATCTCAGTATTCTGTATTTTAATTTATTTGGCTTTTTATTGTGTTTTAAATGTTGCGCTAATGCATTTTCCACCGTATGTAAAGCACTTTCAACTGCCTGTGTTTTAAATGTGCTATACAAATAGTTGCCTGCCTTTCCTTCCTTGCTGATTGTGTGTCTACTCAGCAATTACTTGAAAATAGTACATAAACAACATATATGATTTTAGCTGTCAACATGTCCCTAAAACGTCCACACAGTAATCCATGCCATTGTTCCTCATTTTTGAAACAATTTCAGTCTGTACTGCCATCTGGCGTTTAAAATGTGCACCCTGCAGCTCCCTCCGCCCCTACCCAAATGACACATGGGAACTTTTCAAGAATTATGCAATACACAGAGAAAGTGGACATCTGGCAGTGTGTGATTCTGTATGTTTTTGTTTGTATGTGTTTGACAGGCACTGACATGTATAATGGCAAATTTTACCAGTTACCACAGTTTGTAACTATTATTATTATCATCATCATCATATAATTCAGTAATTTTTATCATCAATCCCATGACATTTGATGACATTTCTTGAAAATAAAAAAAAATCTTAAGAAATAATGTGCACTAAATACATAGAAAAATCTCCTTTATCACAATAACAACAGTTAGTTTAAGTCTAATAATGTGGATCCTTAACGGCATCACCATGCATTGACACTTACAGCCAAGTCACTATAAAGATGGTCTCCAAAGTAAAGAACCTTTGAACCTCGCCAGCCTGTCAGTCTGAGAAAGTCAAACAAGTTTCCCTGAAACATAAAAGAAAACCACAAACCTGTCTCATTAGTACATTAAGCAGACATGCAGAATGCAACAAGTAAAAGCATGTAACAACTACACTCTGCAATCAAATAGAAAGACAGATAAATAAATAATAATGCCGGCTCCCATGGAGGTTAGCGTAAATCTTGCTAGCATCAGTTCTATCAGAATTGAAGAGTATGTCTTAACTGAAAAAAAAAACGGCACTGAAGGTTTTTCTCGACGGAAGAGATGTTTTCTTCTCCCGACTCTCCGTACGGGTGTGTCTACATTACATGGTTTGTTAATCTGATTGGTTGAATTTCACTTGTGATAGACAGATGGTTCATCCGACCACCTGCCGTGTATTTTTTGAAAGTGCCTGCCCTTTTGCAAACTGTTTTGGACAAAAACTTCCCATATAGTTCTGTGTAATAAACCATCTGGCGCAGTCAGCTTAACAGTAGCCTAGAGTGATACAGACCTGTTTGTAGATCTGTCCTTTTTCCAAACTCTTTATCTTTTCCCATCGAAGGTCTCCATTACCATCCAACCGCCTGAAAGGTCTGTAAGAGTCAATAAGATTGTTTAGCTCTACTAAGGTTCGAACATTTCTGAATCAGATAATCACCACTTTGATACACTTACTTGATACAATCGGTGAAGAAGTGAGGTTTGTCTGCCTGTACAATGACCACATCAAAGAAGTCTCTCCAGTTTTTCCCCACCATGTGTGTCATTCCTTTATCTCTGCGCACATGACAAAAAAAACCCAGATTGCAACAGAACAGTGTAGCCTCGTTATGAGTCAGAGTGGACACATGGAAGATGTGGGCCAAAGACAGCTAACACTTACACAAAGCTGAAGGGGCTGTTGGTGATGAGAAAGAGTTTCTTTCCATGACTGACCAACCGATGCAAAACCGCATCGGTCTCTTCTCCTCTCAGAATGAACTTATCTATAAAGAAAAGGAGGAAAGCTCAATGGTACATAGTGTGACTGTAAATGTTGCAATGTGCTGGCTCACTGCAGAAAGATGAAAAGGGTTTTCTTACTGAGGTCTTCCATGATCCATTTGTACATGTAGCCTTTGAGGTGAACCATGCCAATTGCTTCCTGAGGATTAAATAAAAAAGAGGAAAAGAGGAAACAGATCAGTGCTATTCCACCATTTAATGGCACTTTTTCTGATGCAGCATGAGCATCTCCAGCTGAGAGATAGCTCCAAAGTACAGACCTCAAACAGTTTGCATTTCTTTTATCAAAGCAGATATCATGGTGACATAGCAGACACATTGTTCTTTGTTCTACCAATGAGAGTCCATTGCAAAACTTTTACTGGGCTCAGCAGATTCCTGAGCGTCCAGCTGAAGAACCACAGTATGTGAAAACAGTCAGATATAACAGATCAGTGTGCTTCTCAGTATGAGGTACAGGGCGAGGCCACAACTTAAAAATATGGTGTCATATTTAATACCGTGAGATTCAGAGGCCACACTCACTGAGACGTCCTTGAACAGGTGAACTGGATCGTATTCAATGCCGTTAGTGATGAAAAAATCGTTTGCCGCAGCCAAGAGAGTCATCTCTGGGATGGAGAAAATGTCCATGAACTGTTTCACCTTTGGTCCCTGTGGTAGAAAATACATTTTAATGCTTGATATGATTCTTTGTTCATGAGGGATGCAGTAAATGTTTGCAGACTTGTAAAATTAACATTATTGTACCTCTATGGTCTTTTGAATGACATTTGAAACCTTTGCACTACAACAGCTATCCACTAAGAGGCTACCCTGAAAACAGAGCCAAGTCTCCAAATGAGATTAGCGCCACACCAAAACTATTCTAGAGAAGGAGAATAACAAGATGGAGAGGCGTACTTCCTGCTGCAGGAAAACACTTAAAAGGTCCGATGGACCGAAAAATATTTTAGCCTCAGTCAAAACATCAGAGTCCAAATTGCTCCTAATTAGCAGGTCAGATTAACATTTGTGACTGTCAGATTCAATAGAGGTTTCTACTTTTTGTGGCAGATTGAGTGCAGCTTCAAAAACGCCCTAACAAAAACAAATTACTTTGTTGCACGAAGAGTTCTTGAAGCCAGCTTTTTAGGGACAGGAACACTACCGTCAAGCTGATTCATGACGACAATGAAACAAATGCGATTACAAAATTCAACATCGAGACTTATGTAATAGTAAAGCCATACAAAGCCAGACACTTGAAATATCTGAGGACTGTCAGAGATTTAATCCTGAACTACATCCACATTTGAGAGTGGCGGGATGAGATTATAAGAGATGTGTCCACGAAGTTAAGAAGAGCTTTCCCATCTGCGCCAAACCAAACACGTGTTTCACCGAGAAGAAACATCCAGAAAATATCTGAATAAAAAGTGCCATGACTGTAATAAATAGGCGACACTTTCCACCCAACTGTTTAAAATTATTACAAACATTCAAATGAAGTGCCTGATGTAGATTATCCAGTTATTAATGTATTCATATTACTGTACACTATTAGAACTCCCTTCACCTTTCCATAGAAGCCACTGTCCTGCTGTAGGGGGACATGGTATGTCCCTCCATAGAGCTGAAGGACCTCTTCGTCTGGCACTGGGCTCAGTCCCCTGGAAACATCAAATATGAATTAATGCACTAGAGCTTAAAAACACATACAGAATTCAATTCGAAGACAATACAAACACATGATTTGAACTCCAGCAGCAGAGATGATAAATGATTGCAACTCAGCACAGTATCAGCCTCTTACCGATACACCGTTCCTGGCTGAATGTAATGGAAGGCATCTATCTTCATCAAAAGGCCCTAAACAGAGGGGGGGGGGGAATAGTTCTATTACCTCTACAGGGAAATAAACACATTTATCTTCCTGAAACAAGAAATTTGTGATTTTAAAGAATTTACCTTTTGGATGTCATAGTGAAGACCCCGAGCAGCAAAGTTTGGAATATAATCATATTTGCGGATGCCTTCAGGGTACTGTCAGGCAGGAGGAGAAAATGGATGAATGAACCTTAAAAACAGTTTCTAATGTCAATGAGATTAATGCAACTACTGTGAAACACACCTTAAAGTGTTCAATTAGGAAGCCTCTTGCTGTGTTATAGATCATTGTGTTCAGGGCATTTGAGTACATAGCCAGCGTGTAGTCATAGTCAAAGCCGTAGATGTCCACTTCAGCTAAGTTGACCTCATTGTTAGCATAGATGGTGGAGGAGTTGAGAAGGTTACACGCACCTGGAGGAATAAGGTCTGAGAGCAGATAGGAAACTCTCATTCAGATGAAACAAGTCAAATGCTGATCAAATCAAACAGACATCAATGATTAGGCAAAAAAGGGAACAAAACACACGTCACCGTTTTCATCTGAGACAGATGAAATTCACAATGTCTAATTCATATTTTAATGTTAAAAAACCAAACTTTAATGTTCTCTTTTATTATGAAACATGCTGATTACGCACTTCTGCAGAAAGGAAAGAAGTCATTTCCACTGCTGTTTTCAATCTAGTGAGGCTGGCGAGCTCATCAGAGGTTGCGTAATGTGTGCTTCTGGAGTTTCAACGGACTCCTCACCGAACTGAGTCAATCCAAAAAAAACATTTTGTACAGCCCTTACAAAATCAAGAGCATTTAATTTAATTTTTTGCTCAATGGGAGCTGTTAACGTGAGAAAATTACCTCTTGTAATGAGGTTTTATTCTCATTATCGACTTTATCAGTTTTGCTGGCCGCTATTTTGATAAGTACAACAGTCATGCAGCTAACACATGGGCACAGATTAAACAAACAGTTTACAATCTGTTCCTGAGACAGCCTATAATACCCTGACTGGAAAATGAGCACAACGCTGTGTCACTGTCTGTCTATAGGAGAAAGTGGGCCATGGCCTTCTGTCCTGGGACAGTTCAATGAGGGCTGCAGCTGGGCAGAAAATGCATGTACCAACCCTGAGGCTGGTTTCCCTCTCCAATCACTCTACAACTGGAAATGTCTGTATTTCCATGTGCACATTTAAAAACATTAGCTCTGTGAAATTACAAGTCAGTTGGAGAGTGCGTGACCAGCTTTAATTAAAACCCATCATGTTTAGAATTCGTGCTTTGCCACTGCATCAGTTACCGTATATATGAATATCACAGAATAAATTGACATTTATTACACAGAATAAAATAATAATATGCCATGTATCCAGTGGTGGACTTTAACTAAAGGACATTTATGCACTCAATTACAATTGTATGCAACTTTATACTATTACTTCACCCAATTTTAGAGGCAAATATTGTACTTTTAACTCTCTAACAGCTATAAACTAGAGACTATAGATTCACATACAGATGAAGATTTTACATAAAAACATATGATCAGTTATTAAATGATGATGTATTGCTATAGACATTAGTAAAGTAGGTAAAATCCAGGTCCACCTTGACAAGCTGCAACATCAAAATGTTTGTATGTTTGCATCAGTAATAATAATCATATATCAGAAACATACATTTTGCTTAAAAAGTTGTTTCTGATCATATTATCTGCTTAGTATGCACCAATATTGTCATATAAGGATAATAATATTCTTCCAACTTAACACACTAAAAGTATATGGACAGAATAATAATGGATCTGAAATGTATTTTGAGAATATATTTTGCAATATAATGTGTTCACCAACAAAACTGACTCCATTTAACTCCATGGTGCCATAAAGTTTGATCACACTTAAATGTTTCAGATGAAATTCCTGTATTTTCATTTATAGCTGAATACTGATCATATGATCTGTTAACTAAAGTATAATCATTGCCAGTTACTGAAATCCAAATTCTGCCACTTAAGACCTGTAAAAAACCCTCTTTAACACATCACCTCACCACAATGCATTGCTGGAAAAAACCAAAACAACACATGTGTCTGATACACCCAGGCGCTTTGTCTATGTCTGTGTCTCACTTCTTTACTGTCGCTGTTACCGTTCATTAAACTTTATCCTAAAATGCGTTTGGCACGGATGAATCATCAGCATGAATGTGCCATCTGCCCGATTTGGCTACTTTGAAAGCGGATAAACAAACGAATGAACAAAATGTCTTCACCAGAGACTGACAGGAACATCGCTGGTGCTGGTGACGTGGATGCTGGCGTACTATAAGTATACATTAGGGGACACTCGGGGAACCCCCCCTCTGCTTACCGTGCACCATCCGTTTCAAGTCATTGTAACGAGCCCACAGGTAGGACCTTTTGTCCATTGGAGCTGTGCTGGAGGTGTACGACCGTCTCCTTACACCAGTAACGCCGGGAGCACCCACGGGCTCCTTGGGTCGCTTCTTATCCCCGGTGGTACATCTGTGAGGAAGCTCGCTGGAAGAGGGGACGTCCTCGCTGGGCCTGTCCGTGTTGCAACTTTGTTCTCTAGTTTTTTCCAGGCCCTGCTTTCTTCCTCCATACGCCCTGCATGTGGTCGAAAGTCTGTTCACTTTGGGGGATCGCACCACCGGAGGAGTCGTGTTTCCTCTCGTCCACAGTGTGCGGGTTAACGCTGTGCCCATCGTCTTAAGAGACATTTTTATTAATATTTTGTTGTTACAGCTGCAACGTGCACACGCCTAAAAACACCAAAAGTGCTGCCGCTGCAGGCTGGCACATGAAAACATAGCCTTGCCCCGACTGTGGCCACGCCTTCACGGGGCGTGGTCGTGGGTCCCTGCAGCCAATCATAGCCATAGACCTGACTGTATCTGTGGTCATCATAACAAACATCTATTCATATGGGACAGAAAGTATTTGAATTTTTTTGTTTAGGTTTCAAAATGCATTCAGGACCTTGTACACTGAGGGACACTTACATTTGTGTAGTTCTATATAGATATAGGTATATATTGTTTAGATCTTTTACTTACTGTAAGTAAATGCCACACTGTAAAAATACTCCCACTGAAAGTAGAAGTCCTGCATTATAAATGTTACTTAAGTAGAAGTATGTAAGTTGTATTAACAAAATGTACTTCAAGTTTTAAAAGTAAAGAGAAGAGATTGCCACAGTGACTGTTGTACTATACGAATCTACTTCATTAATTGCTCAGGATGGATGAAGAGATCTACACCAATGTATTATATTTCATAAACATGAATATGTGCAAAAAGTGTACTTTTAAAGTAACTAGTAACTACAGCTATAATGTAAATGTAGTGGAGTAAAAGGAACAATATTTGCCCGTAGTAGAGTAGAAGTAGAAAGTAGCATAAAATGGAAATATTCAATTAATGTAAAAAGTATAGTACTTAGGCTATTAAGTAAGTATCATTACTTAACCATATTATATATTAGTCTGGTGTATTCTGCACTAGACTTGTTGACTGCTGCTTTTAATCACATCAATTCACGTCACTTACCTACCTAATTTTGTTGTTCTTAATTTATTATCTATCTTTACCTTTATTCTTATTGTAGTTTTATATGCCTCCTCTTGTTTATTTTTTACTTTCTCCATTCACCTATACTCATTTCCCTCCTTGTGCTGCTGCAACAACTAAACGTCCCCTCTGGAGATATTAAAGGATTATCATATCTTTAAAGTTTCTCATTAGCAAGACGGGTTGCTAATTAGTGGTTGGACACCCGAAGGAGCCGTGGCATTCAGATGACAATAGTTGGGCCAGATACAATGGAGAGATGGCTGAGTGAAGCTTCAGAGTATCTGCTCTTTGCTTGGATGAGAGGAGTTGAAAGGAGTCGCTTTGAAAGACAAAGGGAGCAGTCTTGACACCATCCCCCATTAACAACTTCACCGGCTCCATCTCACTAACTCCCCCACCCCCAGCTCAGCAGGAGCCTGGGCCTTTCAACAACTCACCGCCTTTGTGCTGTACCAACTTAAAACCATAACGGACCCACTCCTGGACCCCCTGCAGTTCGCCTACAGAGCCAACAGGTCTGTGGACGATGCATTAAACACGACACAGCACTTTATCCTCCCAGCCTCTGCACTCCTCAGGATCCTGTTTGTGGACTTAAGCTCTGCTTTCAATACCATCATCCCAGCTCTGTTACAGGACAAGCTGTTCCAGTTAAATGTGCCTGACTCCACATTCAAGTGAATCACAGACTTCCTTCTGATAAAGGCAGCTGATGCGTACATTAGGCCAGAGCAAGATAATGCTATCACCTGTCATGGGGCCCAGTAGATTTACCCCGTGCAGGGCCAAATGATAGGTCAAAAGCTTTACTTCCACTGCCAAAGATTTCTAGATCATCACTCTATTTGTGGGAAATGAGCATTGTAGATTTAGTAATCAATGTACTGATTTGGTGATAACTGTGATTCTGTGTTTGAGTTGTGAGGAAGGCAGATCAGAATCTGCTGATATTCAACTCAGTTACACTGTAGCAGTAAAAGGACCATTGTACTGAGGTAATTGACATTTGAATGAATAGTAAACTTTGTCAGGAGATTAGCAACTGTTGTTTACCTGATGATATATTAGGCAAGGCACTCTGAAAGTCCCTTCAGAGAACAAACCCTCTCTCCATGCAGCATGAAGTAAAGAGACTTGATCCATCTGTCATCGGTCTGTAATTACTTCAGAGAACTTGAAAGAAAATCTTACGCAACACACAACTACAAATAATCCATTAAGATTATAGTATGAGTGGCTCACATACCATGGACAGGCCACATGTATTTGGCAGACACTTTACCACAGAGCAATAGTAGCTCGCTGCATAATCCCAATTAATAAACTGAAAACATCTTCATATTCTATGTTACACACGACTTATACTGCGCTTGAACTCAAAAGACAAGGATCAATATACAGTGTTGGCTGTGTTTTTATTCTTCATGACAAAAGTGGTTCACAGGTCAATGAAAGGAACTTGCATACACATAAAAAGTTGAGGCCCATCAAATGTATTACGCGGAGTGTGTGCACGTCATCCCTCAAGAACAATTTACACAGAATGCAGAACACATAAATACAGTTAAAATATTATACATCAATGGTAATTAAATTAAACACATATCTGCACAGAGTGAATTAAATAGATTAATAAATCTATTTACAACCTTCGAAGCAATATGACATGATGTTAAAGCATTTTCACTTTTTGGCGAGTTCACGAATGATCAACCAGCTCCCCTAATGGTCCAAAAACTGTTATTATACTTTCAAAACCTTATTGTAACATTCAGTCTAGAGTGTTTTTCAAACATTATGTTCTCAAATTCCCTGCATTCATAATCTTAATACAGTAACTTTTCTCATAGTAACAGTTAACTTTAAATTAAACATAGATACTGACCATTCATTTCAGGGTAAGCACTTATTCCTTACTAGCTAAAAAGTGAAAATAATCTACCAAAATGAGATATCGCCTTAGTCAGTGCTAAAACTGCTCAATGAGTTTCCTCAAAAGACATACCTTCAAAAACATCACAACTACAGTGTCGATAGAAGCCTCTATTTAGAAAATGTGATGTAGTCTAAAAACAACAGACAAGATCAAAAACAAGGCACTAAAACAAAAAATTAATCAGCAGGATGTGGCCTCATCTAAACCACAGGACAGTTGAGCTTGATGTAAATTTTTGATGAAAAAACATTTTCTTGCAATCACTTCTCTTTCTTTTTCTTTTTTTTTTTAAACAGCCATTTCCAAATGTGTCCTAAAAAGGTCATGATTTGGTCTCATCAGGTCAATTCAACTTGAGTTTAAACTGCTTTCAATGAGACAAGTGTTGTCACAATGCCAATGTTAACATACCAGAGGCAGGGCAGAGCCGTTCTATAAGCAACCCCCTTTGGGGTATCGACAGATACGTACACATTTTTTTTTCTTTGTGTATTTTCTTTGCAGAACCCCGACTAGAAAAGCAATGTCATGTTGGAGTTACGTCTCACTCTGAAATATTTAGTTTTGCAGAATTTATTTATTCTTTGTTTCAAGTCATAACGTGGTACTAGTTGTTAAAATTATGGGACAATATTGTTATTTATTTATTTCAATTTTTCTACAAGCAGCAGCCCTAACAGCAGCCTGTTAGTACTATTAGCATTCAGAACTGAAAACAGTGGATGCTGTACCCACAGGAGAAGAACACTCGCTTGCTGTGGGTAATACTAGTTCATTACAACATGCTTACTTTGGTAACACACAAAAGCATGGTGACATAGAATGATGAAATACAAAACTTAAGTATTGTTGCTTAGCTGTTCAAAGGAGTGACAAAAAGCAGAGGCTGGATGGGAACTGTTATTATGACCACAGAATCAAGTGAAATGAGTGTGGCCCAACATGTTAGTAACAATTTTAGGTAAACCAAGCCACTTGAGTGATGTGAGACAGTGTTGATTAAAGCTCAGCCCAAAAAAACAGGTTAGCCAATGGGATACTTGCAAATGTGCCACTTAACACCCCAGATGACTTCAAAAAGCTGCTTGTTGTGACAGATGCTAAACAGCTGCAGCCAACCACTGTTAACTGAAAGTGAAGGTACATTTCGAAACCCCACCCTAGTCCTAAAGAACAGCAGGAAGTATACAGGCACTGTTCTGACTTGATCTGCATAGTTTGCAAAGTAAGATGCACATTAAAGATCTCCCAAATCTTGTATCTGATCACTCGGTGTTTGACCTGAGGTGGTGGACTTATGGCTGATCTATTGCCATCAATGAAATGGCATGTTTACTGACCTATAGTTAAAGGGTGTGGCTGATGGCAAAAGCCAAAGAGCCGAACACATCAAAGGATAAAAAAAGGGCATGTCACTGCGCCACCAGTGAAAGGGAGAAACCTCAAGACAATAGCAAGCTCTCTACTTTTAGGGTAGCAATGTGAGTAAGGCTGCATTGTTCTATAGAAACAACTACCTGGGAGAGCTATCACAGATGATCTAATGGCTTACAGCGACTAAAAGATGCCAGACAGGCCTGACCAGGATGCCAGACAAAAGGCAAGAGTGTAGAGACATACAGCCTTAAAACAGATCATAGCCTTGAATCAGAGTCTGAGGACAGTAAATACTGTACATGGAAGGTCTGACTTTCTGGAATAAATACTGTCAATGGTTCACCACAACAAACAGCCTTGAACAAGACCAGATGGAAATTGGATCCACTCGGGACAAGACACAGTCAATGACTTCACAGAGCAATGAGCAGCACATTTCTCTTCATCCTTCTCCAGGCTGCATGCAGGTTTCTCCGCTCCAAGCAGAAAAAACCAAGAGGGCGGGATGAGAGGTTTTTTTTTTTTTTTTTACTTTTTAATCCATGGTTCTGGGGGTTCTGGTGGGTAGAGTGGGGAATGTTGCATCTGGGATGGACAGGATGTCTCGAGTCAGGAAAGGAGGAGGGAGCCAGGGAGTCAACATGAAGACAGGTCCTTATGGAGAGAAGGGGGTTTGGAGTAATGGAAGGAGTGTTTCAGCGCTACAGAGACAGGGTGAGACAAAGACAAAAAAACATATTTAGTTTTAAAAAAAAAAAAAAGAAATAAATAAGTGAAAAAGATGAGGGTAATTAATAAGCATAAACAGATTAATACAACATATAAAGGAGCAGCTAACCCAGTTAAGCTCAGATGTATAAAACTAAGCAATTCAAACTCCGATAAGCATTAGATCTAAACAAAATGTAAATAATATAAAGAATGGGTTATTTATTCTTTACAACATAATGTATAGATTAGGATAAAGTAGTTTAGTGTAGGGAACAGATCTGCTGGCTACACTGTCTCATCGCCTGCGACAGGATTTGGAGTGCGAGCTCCGGGCCCTGGCAGGTGTTCCCTGAGCTCTGTGACTAGAGCTCCTACTGACATTAATGTGCGATTCCTCAGTGGTTCTACTTGTGGAGGCGGATGATCTATGCCTGGACTCTCTGCAGACCCCAGTCATCCTGCTCTTACCGGGTGGATTGTGACCAGAGAGAGATGTGGTTGTCAGGGCCCCTGAAGATTTAGCATTCGGCTGAGAAGAGACGGCGTCTGACTGAAACGTGTTACGGCACGCTGCTGCTTGTACAGAATTAGACCTGTGACCCAACTGTTTTCTTCTTACAGAAGTATCTAAGTTTGGTTTTAGATCAGGCTTTTGTTTATTTTCACCCCATGCTTCAAATGTGTTAGAATATACACACAGTGCTTTAGAAGAGGTTAGATTATCATTTGATGAAGAAAACAAAGAAGACTTCAGCCTGGAGGAAGAGGGAGATACAACGCGAGTTGTAATAAAGGTGTCCTGACGTGCAGGGGCCGAAGCTCTCCGGCCTGAAACACCTTTTCTTGAATCTTTGACTTGTGTTTTGACCATTAACTCGCTGTTCACAGAACTGGTGGAGCCTTTATGCATTGGGGAGTAACCGGGACTCAACTCTGCATTAAAAACATCACTGACACTATGACTTCTAATGAAGGTGGCGTCTCGTGGGATGCCCTTGCCTCTGCTTGACCGGCTGCTTGTCTGGGTGTGGCTGTCAGGACAAAGAGAGAGAGCGGTTCTTACAGGGCTCGTGTGGAGGCTTCGGGTTAGACTCCGCAGGTGGTGCGTGGCCATGGCTGGAACGCTGCTGCCGAGAACCGGGCTAGCCCGTGGACTGCTCCTCAGCGGGGGGCGTGCGGGACTGCTTCGGGGGCTACGTGGAGCCCGGCCCGACTTGGTGGCCAGCTCTTTGGCCCGGGAGCGGCGGGGGCTGCTGTTCAAGCTGTGGGGAGACAGAGGGGCCTCCAGGTCCTCCAAACGCTGAGTTAGAGCCAGTTTCTGCTGTATGGCCATACGCAGCAGAGAATTCAGTGTCTTCTTCTCGTCCTCGGCTGCTGCCAGCTGCCTCTGCATCTCATCCAACTGGGTGACATACTGGTCACACCTGAGAGATGCAACATGCACAAGCAGGCAAGAACACATTAAAGCACACCATAGACACACAACATATACACACACTTGTTATTTTGATGAATTAATTACTTGTTAAACCATTACAAGTTACCAAAGCGAGTGTAGTTGCAAAATTAGTGAATTTACGTTGATATGAAACCAGGTCAATCTGCAAATTCATCATCATTTGAGAAGCTGGTGCCAAAATGATCTAATGTAATATTAAGTTGATCGACTACTACTGATAGTTTTGTGAGAAAGAAAAGAAGGGTGCCTGTGAATCACAATATACTGTAGAAATGCAGTCACTTCAGCCATCCACATGATGGCACCACAACACCTAATTCTAAAGAAGGGGATATTTTAAAGCTGTAATCTTTAGCCTGTTGCAACAGACAGTAGCAGTCCTTGACGACTGTCTGTTCTCCAATCCTTCTTAAGGATTAATTACATGCCAGCTCATAACTGTCTGGAGAGGGCCTAGACAGGTGATGCATGTCTAAGAAGCGTCAGTGATAATTAATATCAAATAATAACTGATGCTGTCCGTTAGAAAAACAGAAAAAAAGGCAAGAAAAAAACATCAGTTCACTCATTAACCCAATACAAAAACACTCCTTCAATCAATTATCCATGCCAACGGATTCTCAGAAGTGGTTAGTGATTAGTGAGTGAAGTGTGATCTGCAAGTTTAACCCTTGACAGCACCTTCCCACCCTATCTAATGTGCCACCCGTCTCCCGCCAACGTTAGGCTTCTCCTTCCTTAAGGTGACCTGGCTTGATGGGACAAATCTGTCCTTGCCTCCTCCCCCATCGGCACAGGGCAGAGCATGTGGTTCATAATCTTCACGTGAACCAGTGGATTGTCCACAGGCGTAATAAGCGAGGTAAGCTTATTACACGAGTGGTAGCAAAAGCTGTACCACAACAAGAGCACCATTACTAAGCATGAACAACACGAGCAAAGTGGCAAAGACAAGACAGAACTAATTAACATGTTATACTTAAATGAAATGTCAAAGTAATTAAAAATCGACTTTGTCTCGGGACAAAATAAACGGAAGTCTTTCTTTTATAACAGCGTTAAATATATATATATATATAAAAATATATAATATAACTCCCCCTCAGAGGAAATCTTACCGACTGGCAAACATGACTCGGAGTGAAGAGAAGGTGGCAGCGTCCTCCTTCAAGGCTTTGAGCTCATTCCGCAGTTTCATCATCGTCTCTGACACCATGCTCTTCTCTGTCTCATACTTGGTTTTCAAATTGGACAGCGCCAACTCTGCAGTCTACATTGACAAAAAAAAAAAAGATCACTGCACAATCATTCCCCTCTCAAAGTGGGGTGTTAAAATGCGTATTATCACGTATGATAGACGAAATATGTTAATAATGCACTTATGTCATACTGACCGTCATTAACCATTTCTAAAAGACAGTTATCCTGTTCAGGTAGCCAGAACGGAAGTTTTACTTTGGTGGTGAGAAGCTGCAGACTTTATTCACTGAAAAACTGTAACCTGTACATGTGCTGACAGACTGACTTCACTTTGTCCCTCTCATATGATCGCCTTCAACGTCGAATGCAATAATTAACGCCAAGTCTCACGTGTAAATAATGTGATCGCATCGGAGCACCGAACGGGAACCTGCAGTTCTAGAAATCAGACTTGAGAAGGTAAACCACTGTATGCGAGCAGATTACCTTGAGTTGTTTGTGTGTGAAAGAGAGAGTGACAGCGAAGGGGATGACAGAAGCAGGTCACGCAATGCTTGAGGCACCGGACAGGGGAGGGGTGGGAGAGTTCACCCTCTGAGGAGTGCAACATCACACTGTGCTCAAGCTGCAGGACTGTGTGAAGCTAACGGACTGTCTAGACAAGGCACTGATTATACCGGTCAACCTTACTGCTTATGCTGAGATTATGAGTGGATAATAGTGAAGGCTTGCTCTCTCACGTCATCGGGAAAATGAATTTAACATTAAAATTCTGAATAGAGAGTAGGTAGAAATATTGGCAGCAGAAGAAAGACTACATTTCACGACAGACGATCTCTCTGTACCAGAGGAGGTGTTTCATTTTTGTTTATTTAAAGAAACTAATGAAACTTACTCATAGTAAACCAAAACTAACTTCTTTTTAATGACAAACAACAACAAAAACTCCACTAACTGACCCTGTACGTTAGACAGTCCCTCCAGAAAAACGCGATTATGCGATCTCATAATAAATACGCCGCACTTTCGCCGCATAAATGCATTGCGCGCAGTATTATGCGGCTTGCAGATTCTAATCCCTGCGATTTTCGTTGCAAAAAAGTCAACATAATGTATTCTTATATAAAGTTGAAAAATGTGCGTTTACTTCACTCAAGAGCAGCCATTTCCCCTGTGCCATGGAACTTTATGAAGTGACGTAATTATTTTTCATTTTTACAGAAGTTGTAGCACGATTCCTTTTGTAAAGCTACAGAACTTGTTTTTGTAAGTTTGGCCATGTGTTTATTAAGGTTTATAACTTAATATTTCCAGCACTTTCGTGAATGAGTATGTTTCACATAGGAAGTAATAAGAAATGACTCTTTACATAAGTTAGTAAGGCCTTTAGGGAGAACAGGGTTTGGGGGAATTCACTTTTTTTTTTCTTCTTTTCATTTCAAAACCGCAAATTTTTTGCAAAGTTCCGCAATTTCATCGCATAATAATTGCATAATATGCCGCATATTCCATCGCATTTTTTTAAAAAACGTGCGCATAACAAGGATTTTTGCCCGCAACAATCACAAAAAAACTCTCATTTTTCTGGAAGGACTGATTAGAAGATTACATTTGAGGTTAAGTCCCTCACAGGTCAGGTTTACAGAGTAGCCAGTGCATGCTGGGACCTACCTGCTTGTTAGCCTTGAGGACCGTCCTCAGGGTAGCAATCTGTTCTCTCTTGGTGCTGAGAAGGGACTTGAGTTTTAGTACTTCTTCCATGAGGCTTTCGGCATCCCGCTCCGACTCTCCGCTGCTGCTCAACCCCGAATAAGGCATCGCGCCTCTCTGACGACAGAGATCCACTGCCACCTGAGAGGACACAAAGACAGACGTTCAATACAAACGTGTGTTAAACGTCAACATTTCAGGATGGGGAAATGTTTTATAGTATTAGAGTTAGGGATGTCCCGATCCAAGTCATTAAATATTACTGCGTCTTGATCTGATACTTGTATTTTCTTTACACAGTGCACAAGTCATTAAAATGAATCCAGTGTGTGTACGCTTGACAATTAAATATGCATTGTACTTAGAAACAAAACGCCTGCATCGAAGCTGTCCCTTAAAGTTTTAAAGTATAAAATAACAAACCCTCTGTAATCTTTTCTGCCTGAGTTACCTGAATGAACTGTATTTAGCTGAGTGTTTCCCGTCTGTACATCTTTTGTTTGGATTACATTCATCGTTTGCGCCTTTTGTTGCTTTTTGTTCGCAGGACTTTTGTTGCACTTGCACTTGAGTTTGAGTTAAGCTTGTTGGATCTCTACAGCTCTTCTCCTCCGAGCACGGGCAGCCCCGCCCGAGGTGAAGCTCTGCTCTCACACACAGAGCTCAGAGTGGAGGAGAGAAACAGCAGAGAGAGCTGAAGATGACTGCACTGTGAGTAACAACAGCTGATGGAAAACAAAAGATCTGATCGGATCAATAAAGCTGTTTTTTTGTTTTGTCTTTTTGATGTAAAAGGATACCAGAATATCACATTATCAACAATCTGTTAAAACACGTTCATAATTAAGCTCAAGATTTATTTAAAATGGTAATAGACACCTGGGAAGTTGAGAAAGAGTAACTACGTTTTAAACTGTGCGTTTCACTACATAAAAAGTTCACAGAGTTTGTTTTCTGAAAGGATTCTTTATCGGAGGCCCCGACTCAACTTTGAACCCTGATAATCCAATCCATTCAAACTGAGACACACGTGACAACAAGGCCCACGTCAGGTGTTGGATTGGAACAGACACGGGAGCTACTCCACTACACCGGACTGTCTGAGCTGAGCATTAGGTTCAGAGACCTGCACACAGAACAAAAGCCCGTCTTTTAGTAGCTGAGCCACCATGAAGGAGTTATAGAGTTTTTACCGTATGCGATAAGCAGTTCTGTCTTACCCGGAGGTGTTTGATCTGGCAACGTATGACTGCTACCAGGTTGCGGACATTGGAAGGGTCCCTGAAATCCAGGGTGGGGGATCCTGGGCAGCTTGGAGAGTCTGCGGTGGCCCCCGCACTGTCCACCTCCCCCATGAACTGCAATGCTGAAGCTTTGGAGACGAACATGTCGTTGGCTCGCGGCTTCTTCTGGGAATTGTGCTGGGGGTAGACATATCTCCGCGCGCTGCCGCCTCCGCCACTTGTCCTGGCACCGTCCCGGTAGTAGTCTAGGGTGACTCGCTTGGGTGTCAGATTGTTGCACACGCAGATGTGGTGATAGAGGTTGGAGAGCTCCTCAGAGAACGCCAGCAGCTCCTCCTGGGCGACACTCAAGTGCCCTTCTGAATCAATTGCCACTTTTCGTGTTGCTCCGATCTCCTTCTCCAGCTCACTGATGCGCTCCTGGTCCTGCTTGCTGGACTTGATGCACTGACGGATCTTGTCAGCCAGCTCCTGGGCCTCTGCCCTCCAGCGATCCTTCTCCTGCTTGTATCGCTGCTCTAGGGTGTGATAACGAGTTCCTGCCTGAGAGAGTTCATCCCGCAGCTTCAGAAGCTCTTCGCTGGCTGAGCGCATGCGTGCCTCCAGCACCTCCTTGCTCTTGGTGTCTACTTCATAGTCAAAGACAGCATTTCCTCCATCTCCGTTCTCTGTCTCATCGTGTCCCCTGTCGTCTGCCTCCTGGTTGCGCTGCTGGCTGCTCTGAACAGCTTCCAGCTGCTGGGTGAGAGATCCAACCTTGTCCTCTTTCTGACTGAGTGCCTGTTTAGACATTACCAGCTGCATCTGCAGTTCCTCCACCTTGCTAACCAGACTGCCCTTCTCTCGTTCGGCCTGTGC